AGCCCCTCGCCCCCTGTGCACGTGGGAGGCACGGGGAGGTGTGAGGCTCCTCTCGCACCGTGTTCGTGGTCGCTCTTTGCCCCGGGCCGGATCTGATGTGGACTCTTGGAGAACTGACTCCTGAGGTCTGAGTGAGGTGTAGATCGTGCGTGTCTGAACCGCGGCAGATTTTGGGATCCTACTCTGCCATCATGCTTCAGTGGTACTCCACATATTACTTCAGCTCTGCCTTAGTTTCCCCGTCTGTAAAATGGGGAGTGGCCTCTGGACAAAGTGATTGCAAAACCAAGTTGGCATAAAACAGCACATGCTTGCAAGGTGTAAGTCCTGACAAGTAAATGCCTGGCTCTTGATGTTCCTTCTTGCCCTGTGGTTCACCCTGGGTGCATCTCTAATCTTGCCAGTACTGTTAATGCATTTTCAGCTCATCACTAGGGAATATTTTATGGGGGGCAAAGTTTGTTAGCCATTTCATTTTTGCCCTTTGCTTTCTCAGGCACAGTGGAGCTTTATGAAGGCCAAGCCAAGAGCTGAATGGTGTTTTGTGTGAGCAGAGGCAAGAGGTGTCCAGACGTGGGGAACTACAGAGGCAGGTAACATGACAGTCTGATACCTTTAAAAAAATGAGAGCAGGGATGGGGCTGTTTCTTGCACTGCTAAATCCACTACCTGCATTTCAGCTGTGTTTGGTTTTAATCACTGAAGTGATTAAATAATGATAGAGAAGCTGTTTTGACTTTGTGGAAGCTTATAATTATGGCCAAGAAAGGAAAGGTCACCTGTTAAAAAATATAGGGGGACCAGAGTAGATGACTACTAAAGATCTAGGAGAAAATAGCTTCTCTCTCCCAGAAGTTGAAAACAATTTTACTGGAAAGTTTGTGGAGGGTTTTTTAAAAGTGACTTCTTATGCTGTAAGGGTTATCTAAAATAGATGTCCTCCTTAATGTGGGTTTTGTTGCTAATCTAGCTTAGTTGTGCTTTTAATATTGTGAGGAAATCTTTCAACAGAGTACTTTTTAAATGATTTTTTTTATGTCCTTGAGAGCATTTCTTGCTTACTAAGTAAACGGTGGCTTGTCAGCAAGGGGCTTTATTAAAAGGCAAAGGCTCGTCATTCCTTGCATGTTTAAATGACACTTTCAGGCTCCTGGAGGCAAAGCACAGGTCAAGAAAGGAAGCTGTGCCCTTGTGAGTTTGTAGAAAGAGATTCTTTTCTGCTTGGTAGTCGCTATGTTGTTGCTCTCCTTTGTGTTTTTCCTCTGTCTGACCATAAATCAGCAGCAATGTTACAGGCTGTTACAGCACCTCCTGAGAGAGAGCAGACAGAAACAATCACAGTATAATAAAGTTCAGTGTAGCTTGCAAACAGTGTATAAAACTCTGAAATTTGTCCTGGAAATAAATATGAGGTGTAACCTAATCCCAGCGACGGCACTGGAGTCAAGGTACCAGCTTGAGGACTTAGTGTACGGTGTGAATGTTGGTCTTGGGCTGCGATTTTTACACCTGAGTGTGTCAGATCTTGGCTCAGTTCTTGGCTTGGTCATGGTGCTGCTGAGTGACCTTGGTCAAATCATGTCTTCCTATGGCTTGTGAAATGGAGGCAGCTTTTCGGCCTTCCTGTTTAGATGGCAGGCAGGTTAGGGACTGGGTCTTACTGTGTTTTGGCATGAGGCTGTAATGTCACTCAGAGCTCCTGGTAGTTACTGAAGTATAACCAGAGTAGGTTCCTGGTTAAGCAAAAAAATGTTTGAAACTTGAAGGCTCAGCTTCTCCCACCTGTGATCTGTTTGTGGACATGGCTGTGAAATCAGTTGTGAACTGAACTGATCAGAATAAAATACCGCATGGCGTGGCGGTCGGGCAGCACAGAGCCTACCCACCTTGCCTTGGCAAGTGTCAGCATTAAAGCTGTAGGATTCCCAGCACCCCCTTAAAACTATGAAAGGAACGTGTAGAGAACTAGGAAGGGAATTACCCACTGTGGGCACACTTTGGAGGTGTGAATGAAGAAGAAATGGAGAGAAGCTCCACAGATGTCCAGGTTACCTGATATTCGTTGGCTTTCAGGCCAGGCCTTCCCCTGATCAGAGCCTGCACACCTCTGCAGTCAGCTGGTGCCTTCCCCTGCAGCCCTCCCTGGAGCCAGCACGGCGGCGCGGTGGGTGCGTCACGGCGTGCGGTGCTCTCAGCGGGCCCTGGCTCCGGCTGCTTCCTGGGCAGCACGTGGGGAGCCCCATGTTCCCTGCCCTGCCAAAGGGCAGAACCCTGGCGGGGGGGTGATTGCCCTGCGCCCTTGGGGTGCCCTCTGATCTGCTGCTGTCTTCCAGCCAGCCTGTACCCTCCTTCTGCCTGCCTCACAGCACCTGAGATCTGCAGAGCATTTGCCAAAGGTCTGTGGAGAAGATTTGTAGTTGTCCCCTGGCAGTCACTCGTGAGAGAGCTCAGTGGGCTGTGCCTCCCGTTACAGCTGTGTTCTTGCAGTTCAGAGGCAATTGTGGTCAGTGAATGCATCCCTGTGTGTGTCCTTGGGAGCAGATTTCTTTTGTCTGAGTTGATCTGGTCACCAATCTGCTATGAAGCCCTGGACTATAGTGGAACTTGTAAAAATGGCATTCTTAACTGGTCCATTTCTGAGTTCCCGAGGTGCAGCCTATGCTTCTGTGGTGTATAAGTCACAGTATCTCTGCCCCCACATTGAAAAAGCTGAGAGTTTCTATCTGTGCACAGGATGGGTGGGGCTACTTCTGAGAGTACGTGGGGCCAGTCACATCACATGCCAAGACCTTTCCTGGCTGTCATAGGCCATGCCTGAGGTGCTCTGGTTCCTGGTGCTGTCCACATGCAAAGAGGGGTTGACAAGTGTGTTAAGCTTATCACCTCTGGGTGTGCTGGTCCTTCACCAGGTAGGAAAGGTCCTTTACAGGATAGACCACCTTTGACTCTCTGGCCTCAACCTGATTCCTCATTCTCCAGCAACGCGAGTGAAGTGACAAGACAGGAAAGATTCTGGGCTGAGAAGGAAGATGCTGGCACAGTTGTCTCCAACAGAAGTTCCCAGTGGTGTTGTCCTCCGGCCTGTGCACACAATTGGCCCAGAATGGCTGGAGAAGCTCTGAAGTTGTGTGCTTTGTTTTAGTTGCAGGGAGGAAGATGAGTCCAAAAATGACAACAGAGCTGTTGAAACAACTGCGGCACGTGATGAAGAATCCCAGATATGTCCAGGAGCCTGTCCAAGCCTACATAGTGCCATCTGGAGATGCCCACCAGGTATGTATGTATGGACGGATTATGGGAATGATTACACTTTCCTTCCTTGTGAAAAATAAAAGCCAGGAATAACTAAAATGATCTTTTGTTCCCTTGCTTTAATGGTTCTAGCATAAAAACCTGGGTAACCTGAGAAATGTCATGTTGGAAAAAGTTTCTGGAGTCTGTTCAGGAGATTGATGTTTTTATGTTCTTGTAACAAATCTGTGTGGATGCTCCACCAGCAACTTCTCATCAGATTGTCTCCAGGGAGCTCATGCTGCAATAAAGGAAGCTTGCCAGAGCACTTGCCGTCCCCATCCTGGCTGTTGGGAAGAATGGCTTTACCAGGAGAGGAAAAGGCATTATCTGGGCTTCAGCTTCCCCATTAGCACCTCCTGATCAACACATACTCTGAAGTGAGGCAGTGAAGGATTAGTTGCAGAGTTTTCCCCTTGCTAGATCCATTTCTTGCTGGAATTTTCTGCCTTATGCTAAAACCCTTCAGATCCCACAGAGAGGAGCCTTTGGAGAGGCAGGGAAGGATGAGGCCACTGGGATGCTTCCCTCTCAATGCTGCTCTGCATCAGCTCGTTCTGGGCTGCAGAGGCAGAGGGAAGTCTGGGTGCAGGGTGGTAACTGTGCTATGTGCTCTTTCCACCATTAAGACTGTTGTAGTCTGTGACATTAATTTTAAATTGCTGAACTGCTTTTTACCTTTCATGCCTGCTCATGTGCTAGTTTCCCTCTGTTAGGAGACCCAAGAACTGCCAAGGGTTTTTCCTTCCTCAGCCATTTTCAGGAAACAAAGACCTGAAGCTTTCCTGGCTCACACCCAAAGCTCCCTTTTACCCCAGGGTGCACGAGAGCAGAATGCAACTGAGTCGGAACCTTTGCCCTTGACTTGGCACTGGGGTGAGCTGCGTCCAGACTTGCCTGTGCCTCGGGACCGTGTGTGCAGCATCATGTTTCCTCTTAGGGAGATCCAAACTTGGGCAGGTAGAGGGAAGGCGTTTTCTGCAGCTGCTATTGTCTGCTGCCTTCCTGCCTCAAGCTGCCTCTATCCATATATAACTCTGGTTTCATTTCACTAGACATTAAATGCTGTCATGTGAGTTGAAGAATGTGACCCTCAGGACTTCTGGGTTTTTCTGTTGCTTTCTTTTCCTTGACAGAGTGCAGTAAAGCAGAGAACCCCATGTTGCTATTTCCTGCCAGGCAAGTTGGTCAGGTTTCTCTGCAGAGCGAATCTATCTGAATGGAAACGATTACTAAAAGCTGCTGATTCTGGCGCCTCCTGACTCGCTAGTGCAGGATTTTGTCTGGGAGGTTTGGGAATTGGTGCAATCGGCGGAAACCTGTTGATCCCTGAACAGGCTTACTGATTCCAGGTAAATGGTGATGAGCTGAGATTTGCAGCTTCCCCACGTTCCAAGCAAGGGTTGGTTTCCTGTATGCAGATAAGAACTTTACAGCTCTGCAGTCAGATTATGCTCTTAGGCAGCTCCCTTCATGACTCAGAAGACTGTGGTTTAATGATACTCAACTCTTTGGTGGCTTTGGGCCATTTCCTCCCCACAGCTTGTGCTACTTATTGCTGTCCTGCCTCTCAGCTGTTCCTGAGGCTGTCCTGGGATCCATATCAGAGAACTTGCCAACAAAGAGGGCTTTCTGTCCTGTGGTGTTGATACAGGGTTTAGATTGAGGGGAACTTTGTTCCCTTCCAGGTTGCAAAGGAACCCCTGGATTGGACTGGTGCTGATAAACCCCAATGCTGCAACTTGCTGACTAATTTCTGCTTGTAACTCTGGGAGTCTTTGAGCTCTGGCATACTTTTAATATTAGTTTTCCTGCCAAGGCTAGAAGGCTTAGGTTATAAGACTGCCAGGAGGCTTGCCACCAGTTGTATCCTTTGCTTTCTATGTTTGGTCGTGTAAGGAGCTGGAAGACTTGCAGAGCTTCTCAAACATACATGACTCTGACTCTGGCTTAACCAAGGCTGCTAATACCTTGCATTTGTGGCTCTTGCAGCCAGCCCTGAATGTTGGCTGCTTTGATTCTTGAAACTTTGGATTTTAAATTTTTTATTATGGTGATCAGTAAGAAGAAATGGACTGTTTCCCTGGGGAGCTGGGTGATCCAAAGGCTGGTGAGAAAAGAGGGCAGTCCCAGGCAAAGGTGGGCTGAAATCCAGACGCAGAGCCTTGCTTCCTTGCGTGAGGGCTAGGTGGGTTTTGTGGCTGGAGGTGTGGAAGGGTCCTGAAGGGGTGAAATGCCATGTGTTTGGGAATGAGGCACCGAAGTCTTTTGCAGTTTGACTAAAAATGCCTGTCTGAGCTTTTGAGGTGTTGCAGTGGTAAATGCAAGACCCATTTTTATACTGAGTCACCCACGCAGTTTACACTGAACCTGGAGTTTGCTTTTGCAGGAATATTCAGAGACTGGGAGAGCTTTCTTCTTAATGGGAGGGAGTGATGTTTGGATTAGACCTTGGGTTTGGAGCCAGTTGCAGCTTAACTGGGGCTGACTTCCACCCCCAGGCCTTGACTCAGTGAAAACAAATTTGGTCAGATCTGGCTGGTCTTCCACATCAAGGAAGCACCTGCCCAGCTCAGGGCCCCATGTTTGGGTTGGCAGAGATGCTGTCTTCTGCTCAGGGCTGGCTCCTGACACATGGCGTGTTCTGAGCTGAGGAATCAGTGGAGTTATAAAGCAAGAGATGGCCTGTGCCCAGGCTGCACTGACCTGTTCCAGATCTGACCAATGCAGTTAGGTTTTTGGCAGTGAACGCCAACCTCCCTCCAGGTAGACAGCAGTGTTCGTTCTTCAGTGACATCAGTATCATAGCACTGGAGGCAGAGAGCTGCACTTTTTGTTGCTGATTGTGGTTGACATTAAACTAGAATAAGCTTTAACTTACTAATGCACCAACCATGCAAGCTCTGGTGATAAGCACCACTGATTTTTTGGGTTCTTTCTGGCTTAGCTGAGGGTTTCTGTGATGCAGCTCCCAGTTCTGTCTGTGTGTCAAGGAGTGATAGGTGTGGTGGAAAGCAGACATGGAGGAGGGCCCGGCTGAAGACCACTGGAGCTGCAAGACAAGCCCCAGGGAAATACCTTGTTGTGACTGTGCTGTGGCCTGTACTTTGTGTGGCATACACAGGTGTTCCCCTTGTAATTTTAGCTCGTGAAAAACATGGGCTCATCTTTGCACAGTGGGGGTTGCTGTATGGAACAGAGCAGGTGGGCCTGCAAATGTTCAGACTGATGGATGGATGAACAATCTTCCCCTGCAGATCCCTCACACTCACTTTCAGAGCCTGTCTGCCTCATTGTAAACTCTTAAAATACTCCCTGGATTTGTCAGTGGATGGAGCAGCATGAGGTATTTCCCATGCAGTCAAGGTCTGTGTTAGTTTAGGTCAGCTTTTACCAGATTTAAAGCTAATAGACTTTATTTCCTTTAAGATTTTTTAAAAAAAAAACTGTTTTAACCTATTCTGTGTTGTTAATGCAGCTAGCTCAGTGTTAACCCTTCTGAAGAACACGAGATCATGTGTCTGCACAAGCAACCAGCCTGTAGACGCTGCTGTGTTGGTCAAGGGAAGAGAAATCCCTGGTCTGAGATCGACTTAATGATATGATCCAGAATGGGACATTTCCAGCATCCCTGTAGGGGTTGGACCCTGGGAGATGGTGTCCCAGCCTTGAGCTGAGGAGTGTAGGAGAGGGGGAGTCGTAGCAGTCAACAGGCTGACCAATAGTTTGGAGAAGTTGAAATGAAGAACCCTGCTCAGTTCCAACGGTGCTCTGCCTCCACGTTCTGTCCTGCTGCTGTGGGCCGGGCGGCCAGGGAGGCAGGCACTGCATTCTGCTCCCTGAGCAACTCTGTCCTCTCTGTCTGCTGAGCCCTCCGTCGTTGTTTTAAAGGGAGTTGGTGGTGCTGTGGTGGGCTGAGGTGGACCCACCCTGTCTGTCAGAGGTGTGCAGAGGGCTGTCATACCTTCCTCAGGTGGGTGTCCTGACCCTTCTCCTCCCCACAGCTGCTGGGTGTCACAGCCCTGTGAGGTCTGTGGGGCTGGACAGGAGGAGGCACAGGGAACTGGACTGGCTCAGAGATGACGGCACCCATGGTCTCAGTTTTCATTAATGGCCAATTTTCTTTAGTTGTTGGATAAAATAGAGGATTTCTTGGGAGAATATCCCAGAAATCTTCCCTAGCAATCAGGAGCAAAAGCTTCTTGGCCAGACCCTCTTTTGGGCTGTGGATTTTGTTGTCCCAAGACTCAGTTTAAAATGTTAATGGTGAGTGGTTGGTAGCTGCTGCACAGGGCATCTCCCCAGGAGGGGAGAGACGCAGCTGGTCTGGGGGACGTTTGGCTGTGGGCTGATGGGAGCAGAGGTGAAGAGTTGGTCCCAGATGCTGTGATATGCGCTTCTCACTCCTGTGCTTTGAACCCTCTGCCTTCTTTAGAACAGTGAAGAGTAACAGATTTGAAGGGAGTGTCTTCTAACAATCAGGTTATTTAAAAGTCGCCCTGGACAGAGACAGAAAAATGTGACATCTAGCACAGTAGGAACTAAAACCACCGAGAATTGGGCTCTGATTTCTCAGTTCAGTTCCTAAACTGTTTCTTTTATCACAGCATAGTTGGGTGCAGAGAAACTTTATGGGCAGAAGAACAGACTTTGGCTATAGACCATTTGTAAGGTACAAATCCAGGGGTTTTGCAGATCAAACATCAATGCTGTCAGCCTGGATTAAGCTGATTTGCTGAGTTGTGCTAATTAATTAACAGACCTACTCAGCAGTTCTGACCTCCGAACTTGCCAGAATGGAATCCCATAAAAGTGGCGTGTGGGCCGTTGCAAGGTACAGTTGTCCTTTTAATTTTGGCAACTCCTGTGGATATTGAATATCTGTGTGTTCTCAGGCTCTTCTGTAATGCTGCCAGCAGATGTGTCCGCAAACAGAACAGGTTGTGATGGATTTGGGGTGAGGATGGACTAGCAGCAGTCTTTGATTCCCTCTCACTTGTCAAACCATGGTCTGGTGGTTTCTGGTGTAGCTGGGTTTTGAGTAGGCAAGGAAGAAGTGAGGGGATCAGCATTAGTTCTGAAAGGTCCTAAAGTTTAAAGTTTTTACATGTTTACCACCTTGATAACTTTCTTTCAATGTCATTGTTGTGGAGAAAAAAGTCTTAAAGGAATTCTTAGGAATGACAGTGAGAAGACTTCACTGGAGACAGTGAATTTTACAGATTTTATGTGCTGATTACTCTGGTCTCCAAGATCAAGGAGTGCTTTTGGTTTCTCTTCCTTTCACACTGCAGCTTCAAAGGCAGCATTTGTTTGTTGCCCAAAGGGGAGGCTGAGTGTGAAATAAACATCGGCAAACTCTGAAGTACTTCAGTGTTTACAGACATTTGTGGGAGAAAAGTGCTGCAGCTTAAAGGAAAAAACCCAAACCAAACAGTTGGACATAAATACAATATAATCAGAGATGATTAAATGTTCCAGCAGAGTAGAGCCCAGGATTTTTTAACTCATTTTGTTCTCTGTGTTGTCCTTTAGGAGAAAAAGCTTATCACAGTATTTGTCATCAGCTGAGCTTTTTTTTTTTTCCCTCTGCTGCTATAAATAATTGCTGCCTCTTTTGTTTTGTAGAGTGAGTACATTGCACCCTGTGATTGCAGACGGGCGTTCATCTCTGGATTTGATGGCTCTGCAGGTACCTTTCCAGGACTTGGGTTCTTGATAATGTACATAATTCCCCTGTAAAGAAATAGTCTCATTCATGGCATAGAGGCAGAATGGAAAAGGAAATCTACCCAGTTTGTTTGGACTATTTTTTTCCCATTTCAGCATCTGCAGAATTATGTCTTGGCTACCCACTGGAATTATGTAATATCAGTGCAATAACAACAAGTTCTCAAAAAATGTTTGACCCCTGAATGAACCTCTTGTAAAGTAAAATCCTGTTAACTCTTTAATATGCTGCTTGTAATCTATGGTGGTCTTTTGATGTGAGGCAGTAGGAGCAGATTTTTACATTGCCCGTTTGGGCTGGGTGAGTGGTAGGTGGGCTTGAGTAGCCTCTCAGTTTAAACAGCCAGGGCAGAAGCACTGCCTTTGGAAACTGATCACTGTGGAAAAGTTTGCTTATCTTGCCGAGACAGGATGTTTTCTTGGCTGTAGGATAGGTCTGTGTTTCAAGAGACCTAGATTTACCCTCGCTGTACCCTGGGCTCTGCAACTCACTCTGCTGTGTGATTGCTGGAAAGTCACTTCGGCCCGTTGAGATCTTTTTGCTCCCCAGTTGTAAACGGGTTTAATAAATACTGCTGCCTATGTGTTTGGAGGGTCTTTTCATCTGTTCCTATAAACTACTCTCGGACCTCCTGTGGAAGGTGATAAATCCAGGGCTGTGGGCTGCTGCTAATGAATAACATGAATCCTGTATTAATTTCATGCCTTCCACATGGCCTCTTCATAACCCTCTGCTCTGTTTTGGGCCCTTGTTATGTACTTGGGAGGGCTGTGTTCCCAGCCTAGTGCTCATCAAATCAGTGATGTTTCATACGGGCTTACCTTGAATTTCTTGCTTCATCTTTTCAGGCTGAAGCAGCTTAAAATGGGGGTTCTGTTGGGGGAGTTTGGTAGAAGACAATGAATTCATATTTGGAAACTCTGCTCTGCAAATCTGGACTTCAGCTTCTGTTGACAAAGAGTATGAACAAGATGTAGAGACTTGAAAGACTTGGGTTTAGTTTCTGTTTGTGCCATTTTGTTTTTTTTTTTAATCACCAAGGGCAAGGCCTTGCTGAGGTGTCACTGCCCCTCATCTGTCTGCTTACACCTCTCCATCTAGAGTCAGTGGAATGGGCCAGGCACTGAAACCAGCAGAAGTTTGTTCATGTTTCCTGCTCAGCCGTCTTGACTAGAGCTGTAACATTTGGGAAAGGGGTGCAGCTGACAGCTGGAAGGGATACCCAGATCTGCTAGTCTAGTAACAGCTGTCCTGTGTGGATGGCCAGAGCCCAGGCTTCCTCCCTGTACGGGGACGGGATGGAGTCTGGGGATGCACAGGATGTGTCACTGTGACGACAGCCAAGTGGAGACCACGGTGTCCATTACAGAGGGTCTGGAAAGCCCCATTTACCAGTCCCACTGACTGACTGAGATATGCTGAAGTTGAATTCATCTGAGGCAATTCATTAAGCTGCATCCTTGCGTCACCACCTCCAGTAGGATTTGGGAGGTTGCCGTGCGGGGGAAGCGCTGAATATCTCCACTGAAACGGGACTAACTTTTGAGCAGTGAGCAGAGCTGCCTTTTGGGGATTTGGGGTGCATTTAAACAGTGCGCTGCTGTCTGTGGCTCTGCATGTTGGCTGCCCACCTCTGTGTCACCACATCTTTCTGCCTTCTTGCCTAGGTACTGCCATAGTAACTGAACAGCACGCGGCCATGTGGACCGACGGGCGCTACTTCCTGCAGGCTGCACAGCAGATGGACACCAACTGGACGCTCATGAAGATGGGTACGCAGGAGCCTGGGGTGCAGCTCCACTGACAGACAGAGAACAGGCACAGCCTCGGTGGTCACTTTGCGCGTGTTGCACCTCGGGCTGTAGGAATATTCCATCATGCAGGGGCTTAGGGGCGTCTTGGATACACTGCTGCTCCTGCTTTAGTGTCCTGAGACTCTTCTTGCTGATGACTCTAGACATTTGTAGATGTAGCTGATGCATTAGCTTGGACTTTTTGGGTCCTGTGGGAGTGCTTCAGTATGACTGCTGCGTTGAACCTTGTTTTTTTCTTTTTTCTTTTTTTTTTTTTTTTTCAAATCTATGGAGGCCTGAAAGATACACCGACTCAGGAGGATTGGCTAGTGAGTGTGCTCCCAGAAGGCTCGAAGGTGGGAGTGGACCCTTTCATTATTCCCGCTGGTTGGTTTTACTTCAATTTATAACTCTGAGTTGGGCAACTGCATTTTATTTCCTTGCTTCTGTGGCTCAGCTGTTGTGTGATGCCATGTAGCTAACCGTGTTTCAGCCCACATGGGGTGGTGGGTTACACTGTTAGGCAAAACAGGTTGGATTTTAGTTTTAGGCCTGTATCACGAGAGCTCCAGAGCAATGTGTTGACTCCAAAACCAAGGGGATGAGAACTGCTTTCTGGGCTTGCAGTGATTCTACCTGAAAAGCAGAGTTGCCATCCACTTCCTTTTGTCCATGCTGTGGCTTGTCACGTGCACTTCAGTACGAAGTCACTGAATTGCTTGGCCGGCATGTGAGCCAGGACACTCAGGCAAAACTCACACTGCTACTCCTGCTTGGTGGTCTCAAGCATCTCTGCAGCTTTCCCTGTAGGAGGCACCTTCCTGAAGAGGTGCTCTTTATATCAGATGACTGTCCCTTTACTCATGCTTCAGAATATGGGGCACTGCAGCCAAGGGAAGACATTTGCTTGATTCGAGTGGGCTAAGGATCAGTCTTGTGGCTGCATCAAAGCTCATCCCTCACCTAGCTTAGATCTAGCATAGTTCTGCACTAGGGCAGAGGACACCCTTGTGGCAGCCTCTGGGGTGTCTTCTTCTAGTAGCTTGTGTCTCCCAGCTGGAGCAGTTCTTCAGCTCAAGTGTGAGGCTCCAGGGGTTTGAGGTTCTGTGCCTGCTGCTGACTGTGGCAGCTACATGTGGAACTGTAATTGTAGTAGGTTTTGCTTAGTTTTTTTTTAAGGGAATGAGCAGGACGAGAGGCTGGAAGGAAAGGAGAAGACTCGGGTTCTTGAGTTTGCCCCCTGTGAATGCAGCCATTGTTGAACCAGTGTGTGTCCTTTAAAGCCGTGACTCTTGCCTCTTTTCCCATGGGCAGACCAGTGGAAGAGGATGTCCAAAGCCTTGAGAAGTGCTGGCCACGACCTCGTGCCTGTTAAAGAAAACCTGATTGATACAATCTGGACAGACTGTCCTCAGCGCCCCTGCAAGCCTCTCATCACGCTCGACCTGAGTTACACAGGTGAGAAGCTTAACTCCAGTGGACAGGGACTTTTTCTACTGCCCTATCCCCCTTTGCTTTCCCCTTACAAAGTAGTGAGGGAAACACTATTGCAGTCCACTGTGATCCACTATGAATAGGTCAAGAAGATGATCAAACCTCAGCTAATGACCCTTTTGTCCTCAAAAATTCAAATAACCATTTGCTAGAGCCTCTAGAGTTTGCTAGAGGTAGCTTCAAAACAAATCCAGGTTGTCTGGAGGACAGCTCGTTTGAGGTGGTTCGTATCAGTTATTAGAAAGGAGTGAGGAGCACAAGCACAGTGGGTTTTGGGTACCTCCAAAATCCAACGCGTTGGTCTGTGTTTGTCATCACCCCCAGTAAAGCTGGTAACTGTAGCTTTTCATACTGTGTTTTGCAGGGGTCAGCTGGAGAGACAAAATTGTAGCACTCCGTTCAAAAATGGCTGAGAGGAAAGTTCTGTGGTTTGTGGTAACGGCCTTGGATGAGGTAGCATGTAAGTCTTTGCATCTCCTTTCTCAGTTCTTCCTGTGAAATCAAGGTCCTTCCTGCCTTAGAAAGGAAGAACCCTGCCATGGTGAGAGGCTCTTATGACTGTTTGTTACAGGCCAGTTAACCTGCATCAAGTGCAGTGGCAATTACAGGTCACAAACAGTGAGCCTGTACTTCTGTGTGGTGCCTTGTTACACCAGTGCAGCTCTTGAGTACATTTTTGGCCCAGTAAGTGCAGCAAATCACCACCTTTGAAAAACAGTGCAGGCAAAGGGAAAGAAGGTTATATATAATGCCTGAGGCAGTTTCAAGGGGAAAAAAACCAATGACTTAAGAGATTTTCTGGCTGTAAAATATCCTGATGCTGCCTCACCCTGTGGGAAGATGGAGGCTGTCTTCTGCTGTGGAGGCTGGGCTGTCAGCAAAGCAGTGCAACATGTGGCTCCTGTACACCAGGCGAGGGTGGGGTACGCAGCGTTCACAGTAATCTTCCTAATTGTCACGACTCCTGAACTCAGTGCTTGGCAAACGCTTTGCTTCAACCCAGTAAAGCAGGGCTCAACTAGTATTTCAACTTGTATTTCAATGCAGGGTCCCACTGGAGAGTCTCCTCCATGTCTGGGGCCCCAGGATGACTAGGTCTCCACACTCTTGACTCCCAGCCCAGCGTGTAGGAAGGGAGAATGGCCAGAAGCAGCAGCAGTGGTTTCCCGGGACTGTTGTTACTGGTGCTGTGTATCCTTTGTGCAGAACTCACCAGTGTGCAGCTGGTGCAATGGGACGTGGCACTGGCAGGCTGTGAGTCTGCTAGTGCCTGTGCCCCAGGTGGGGTCTGGAAGGGGAGAGAGGAAGGTCCTGAGCTCCAGCACGGCCAGCACCACGCGCCTGCAGCAGGGTGAAGCCAGCCTGCTGAGGTCTGTGGGGGCTCCTGGATGTGGGACACTGAGCAAAGAGCTCCTTCCATGAAAGAAGCGCTTCTGAGAGCGGTGAACATGACTCCTCCCTGGGGAGGCCTGCCTGAGCAGAGATTATTTGTCTCACTTTTTCAGGCACATCTCCAATTAAAGTAATGATAAATTGTTGCCCTGAGGTGGTTTCAGATTAAATGTCTCCCGCAAAGCCAAGCTTGTTTATGAATCAAGGGTTTTAAGATGGACCAGAGGAGGTCATGAGAGAAGCTTATTGGCAGGTGCCTGGTTGATTTCCTATTCTAAAGGGGAAGGAGGAGAAATTGTCTTTAATTTATCTAATTCAGTTCATTGTATTAAACTCCAGACAAATTTCTGGGGACAGAAAGAGCCACAGAGGAGCCTGTTGCGTCCTTACTGCATTAGGAGTTGGCTGAGCGAGGAAGTTTGTACCCACACAGTAAAGAGTTCTTTGTGGCTCTTTCCTGCTTTCAAGTGACCTCCTCCTTCCCTGGGGAGAATCAAACTCTATTTTTACTTTTTGTGGTAGAATTTTTACAGTTCAATGAATAAAGCGCTGGTTTGGGATTTAGGACATGTTGGTTCTTTTCCCTGCTGTCCTGCTGGTTGGCCTTATTGCCTTGAGTAACTAATTTCAGCTAATTGGATACCCTGGAGTTTTTATTTGACCCTAAAATCAGGAGTTTAGAGATGTTGAACATGTACTTCCCCTCTTGACTTTGCCTGGAATTGTGCAGGATAAAATATTTGTGAAAAAAAATTAAGACTATGCAGTCTGGATCTGAGGAGTTGCAGGCACCCAAATGAGTGGCCTTTTTGGAGTATTTTAGTCTTGCCTATTGTGTCTCCCTCTTACCTCAAGTACCAAAAGAAGGATTGGAATGAAATGTTAACTTGTAACTTTGAAGTCTTCTGGTTGTTGAGAAGTGAGCTTTTATTACATTGCACAGACCAGAAAGGGCAAAACTACTTTTTTTAACCTGTGTCCTTATCTTTTTTGCCTGTACCTGCTTTCTTCCAAGCCAGCTCTCCTTTAGAAATTAAACCCTAATTTCTTTGTCCGATGGGAGTGTTTAAACTGCAGTTTTGGTGCCACCTCCTGGCAAAAACTTAGGACTGCTGGAAAAGCAGCAGGACGTGGGACAGCTGGGTTGGAGCTGGACTCACGGCCTGCGCCCGTGGCAACTCATTGCTTGACTGTGTTTTGCTGAGATTATATTTGCCTTTCTCTAATGTTGCAAAAGATGAATCAGGACTGTGATTCTTGGCGTTCTTCTTTTCCAGGGCTTTTCAACCTCCGAGGCTCTGATGTTGAGTACAATCCTGTGTTTTTTGCATACGCCGTTATAGGAATGAACACAATCAGGTGCTTGTAATCCCCTCTTCTGTCCCCTGAGATGCATTTTTCTGTGGGAAAGCTGTTCTAGCAAAGCCTTTGTCCTTTCAGAACACCCACGCTCAGGCACTTTAATGTCCTTTCTGAGCACTTTTGTCTTCAATGGTGATCACTGTCCTGCCTTGGTTGGAGTTAGAGAGGCAGCCAAGAGCTCTGCTGCTCTCCTCAGCACCTCGGCTGACTTGCTGGGTGACCTTGGGCGTGATGGCTGATCCCACTGGCTGGCTGTCACCCTGAGATAATGCAGAGGGCCCTCAGAGCCCTGGGTGAAATGTGGGTAGGAGCCAATGCTGGCCTGGATGTTGGAAAACTTTTCTCTAATGTCACTGATAGGTCATTTCAAAACTGCAGGGACTGTGTAGGAAGGTTTCAGGGCTGGCTGATGACAGAAGGCTTCTTTACTGTGACTGCCCTATTTAATGAGCCTCAGCAAGCACAAGTCTTTTAGAGGCATCTCCAGGCTGCTAGTTAGATGCATCTTAGGTAAAACCTGGCTGGGTGAGTAGAGGTTGTATGTGAAGGTTGAGCTGAACATTCCAATTCATTGAAAGGGAGAGCAGCATGGTACTTGGAACAACAGTAGCTTTTCCATTTCCAGATGTTGCCCTTAAAAGTTAGCAAATGGCAATTATTTGCCTGTTACTTTGTGCTGCTTGAAGTGCAGCGATGGGGTGCAGCCATTCTGAATGTGTCGTGCAAACAAAAGTGCTGCCAGTTCCTTTCTTCTCAGCAGGGTGGTACATCTGAATTTCAAAGCAGGATTTAGAGCTGCGTGAGGACCAGTGGTTAAAACAATATAGGATGAAGTATAGTGCATAATTAATGAACTCCTTTCTCCCCAAAATGTCAGCAGAATGGTTTCTTCTTTGCTTCTTTACTCCAGCCACTGTTGGATGTGGTCTCACCCGTGTGCTCTGTCGGGTTTGTTCCTCAGGCTCTTCATCGACGGTGAGCGGATGATGGACCCGGCTGTGAGGGAGCACTTGCAGCTCGACTCCACGCTGGAGCCCGAGTTTAAAATCCAGGTGTTGCCCTATGGATCTATCCTGTCAGAGCTGCAGGCTGTCGGTGCAAGCCTCTCACCCAAGGAGAAAGTGTGGCTCAGTGACAAAGCCAGCTATGCTCTGACTGAGGCCATTCCCAAGGTTAGCAGCCCTTATAAAGGAGAAGACTGTTCTCTCTCTGCTCCCTGTGGTCAGGAGCAGTGCTAATGAGCACAGCTGCCCTCAGCTTCCCCTCTGCAGGCTGGAGCCCGTGCGGAAGGGATCCAGCCATGCTGAGGTACCAAGGGGTGGTTAATCCTGGGGTTGCTCTTGCTGGAGCTGCCCTTCCAGCTCACTAAGCCGATTTACCCAAAGAATTGTCAGCTTAGGATAAGACAAGTACAGTGAGAGAGGGGAGGGAGAGAGGGAGCAGGGTGAACTTGGGTCATTCTGCCCATGGCTGGAGCTTCAGCCTTATGTGGACTAGCAGTCAGGGCTGGAAACTTGGAGAAACTGAAGCAGGAAAGTTGAGCAGGACTTTTGGGAGGGGGCACTGGGTCTGAAGATTGTTCCCCTTATTTATTTCAGCAGCTTGAGAGTATCAGGCAATATGTGATGAATACAGGAGGGACAGGGCGACAGAGCTGTTGCAGTGGGGAACCTTGTGAGTACATGGATAACCTGCAGGCACTGGTTGTCCATGCAGTGAGTGCATCTGCTGAGGACAATTGTAGCATCAGAATAATTTTGGTACAGCTTTGCTTGCTGTGTCTTAGCCTGGTACTTGAACTTGTCTGTCTGGGAGTCCTGCAGTCCACCTAATATTCCAGTTGTCATGGAAGGAGATACTCAAGGAGGGAGACATCATCAACTGTAGGCAAATAAGCTGGTTTCCATGCATCTTGTATTCACCTTTTGTTTGCTAGTGATCACATTCTCTGGAATGCTTTCCAGTTTGCAGAGATATCTAGGACCTGACATGCTGTGAGTAAATATGGCTGAGAGTCAGGGACCAGTGAGTATTTTCCAGATGTTACCTTGGACGACCAGACCCACTGTGCAAAATCTGTGTTTGTGCTGGGTAACTAAACAGTCCAGGCTTACAATCACAGGACTCAGGTGAAGGGGTCACTGGAGGAGGAACTAACTTGTAAAAAGTGTTTGGCTGCGAGGCTGCGTTCATGCTCCACCAAGCAAGCAGGTATCTCTTGCCTGTTCTGTGTAGTGCACAGTTGGGTTGCAGATGTGCATATGATACAGCTGTACCCATGACAACAGAGGTAACTCATGGGGTCTGAAGGCGTTTTCTGTATACAGGAATTTTAAGAGCAGTCTCAGCTTTCTTTTTGTCTTCCAGAAGACAAAACCCCAAGAGCAGGGTCTGTTTGTGTATCTCCAGGCTGCCACAATTTGATACCAGCACAAATCTTGTCTTAAGCTCTCCAGCTCTCACTGCCTAAGTAGCAGGAACCATGTGTTATTGTCTCCAGTGTTGACATTCACTTCTGTACATGAATAGCTTCATTGCACTTGGGGCATCAGGACAGATGCTAAAACCAACCGGGTCTGGAAAGTTTTGTCGCTTTCAGCATATCCCTTTACTGTGGGATGTGGCTCTCTGTGCCTTTGCACTGACTCAAGGGAGATGAGCAGTTTGCCTTGCATGATTCTTTTGTTTGTTTGTTTAAAACCAGCAAGGTGAACATGAGCGAGATATTTTTTTGCCCCTGCTCAGGATTAAATTTTTTTGACATCTTCAACCCATTTCTAGGTGTGTATGGCCTCAATACAAAATGCTGACATTTTGGCTGCTCTGGTTCATGGCAGCAGAAAGCATAGGGCCTGCAGAGCATTCAGGGTTATTTGCTGGTACTCTCTTGACTTCAGTGTCAAATGGCCCTTGCTGTAGCCAGAGTCAGTGGACTAACCTCAGTTTGGGTAAGCTGCTGTAGATGATTTACTCAGAGCATCCATATGGAAAATACAGCAGGTCTGCCCTAGAGTAAGGAATGCAATGAGTAGTAGTGGCATTGTTTACCACGCTAGCACTGGAAGTTTTAGCTGGTACTGAGTCATTACAGTGCTACATGCACTCTATATGCAGTGGGAGAGGCCCTGACTCAAGGAGCTCTAACAGAAAGCAGGAGAGGAAGGACTGAAATGTTTTGATTAAAAACCACTCGGAGAGTCACTGAAAGAGCCAAAGGTTTCCCAGTTCCTCATGTTGGGCATTTTTCTCCAGCTGTACACCGCTTTACACCAGCTGAGCAACTGGTCTGGGGTGCTTTGAAGAACCCCAGTGCTGGAAGTCCATCTACTGTCTGTTTCCATCAAAGCCAATTGGCACTGGTGAAAATCCAGTCTGTTATTAAACACACATCTGCGAACTCTTTGTAGATTTGCTTACAGCTGCATGTAAATATACTTTTCACAGAAGATTAATAAAACCTACCAGTATCTGTAAAAGGCAAGCCAGTCTAAGAATCTGACTGTTGAGAAGTTTTGTCCTGACTCTGATGAAAGGGCTTTCCTGATTTTCCTGTGCCTTCTTCAGTACTTTAGTTTCTGCATAATGTAGTGTAATTCTCTTGCTATTTTTAAGAATTTGGAAACTTTAAGCCTGTAGGATGTGTGAAATTTGTCTTTGCTGAGGCTCTACCAGGCCTTTCCCATGAATTTGGGTGGTATTTGTTTGTATGGTGGTGCATTGAGGATAGGAAAACAGCATGTTGCTTGGGCTGTGCTTGTGTTTGTGTTCATCCCATCCTCTGACATGTGATGGGTAGAGCAGAGAACTATGGGGCAAAATCCTTTGTTCTTGTTCCTTCTTCTGATGCCAAGTGTGACACAGCTTGGATAAGTCATCTCAGCTGGTGAGTCTCTGAAGATGTTCTGAGAACCAGCCAAACATTCTTGTTAATCTAAGGGTAGCTGATGTTTGGGGAAGTGCACAGTTACGGGCCAGTAACTAGTTGTTAATGCAGAGCACCCCATCCAGGCACAGGAAAAGTTTGTCTCAATCTGCTGATGTAAGCTTCTTTCAGAAGTGAACAGTATGTAAAGCTCAACAGTGCAAAAGCCTTTCATGTTTCTTGGGACCTTGATGTGTTTGCCAGAGCTGCTGACCATTAGAAGTGAGAATGGTCAGTGCTGGAGGAGCCAGAGCCTTCAGAGCCTGCCAGATTCAGTTCCAGTGCCCATACCTGGGCTGGGTACCCTTTGCTCCCTGCTACTTAAGGGTGACAGTGGGGTAACAGGTTGGAGTGACTTTCAAGGTCTGTGTGCATAGCCCAAGTTCCACCATAGTCCCTGGGACTGGTGTTTCTCATTAGCTGTCTCTGGGCCTTTAGTGTACGTCAGCAACAGGAAACCCATGGCTCAGACATTGATGTATCTGGTATTTAGGATACCTAAATCTTTACCCTGCTTCTTGGCAAGCTGCTGGCCATTTAATTCCTTGGATTTCCCTGTGGCTCTTCTTCCTTCAGGCTGGGGCTGTTTCTCCTCTTTATTCCCCAGTACACTTAGCTGACTACTGGTAAACAGTATCTGACAGTGCTGAAGGTTGAGCGGGACTGTCGAAGTACAAATTGTGGCCAGGCTGAGTTATTAAACCTGCAGGATTATGTAGTCTGACTAATCCACAAGTAATCCCTGTCCTTCTGCTGCAGGCTTACCGATACCTCACCCCATATACCCCCATCTGCACTGCAAAAGCTGTGAAGAACACGTCGGAAACGGAAGGCATGAGAAGAGCACATGTAAGTGAAGCCTTGAGGAACTCCTTGCACATGACAAGAGGTTTGCTTTGCTTTTAGGGAGAGAAATTACATTTTCCTTTCAGTTTTACTGTTTTGGATTGAAAAGCAAATAAGAATTTGGATAGCAGGATAAAAATGGTTTTGTCAGACATTTACTGCTATTGAAGCAGTTTTTTTTTTTTCTTGCTTAACATTCCCTTGGAGTGAAGAACAACGTTTGTAATAGTGTGAGGAACAAACCTTGCTCTGTTGGATGGCCATGCAGACTTGAGAAGTATTGTTTAGAGTGTGGATCCTCAAAGGGGTGTTCTTTCCCCTTTGTGAGTTCTGTTGTCTTTCTCAGTGGAGTCTTCAAATTGATATCACTTGAATAAACACAGCCTAATGAACAGAGAAATTCTCTGACACGTGGTGCAAAACACAGGCCCAGATGTTCAGAAGCAGCCAGTATCCTCAGACCACTCTGATTTTGTATGATTATCATGACATTCTGAAAATGAGGCTGATTTCCCAGCAAGCTTCGTATTTTCAAGCAAAGAAGCTGCCTGTGAAAGAGGTTCATGGGAGGGCTGAAGTTTTCTCTTGTTTATTTCCTGTTAATTTTCAAGCGGCAGTTTTCACAACAGGAGAAATGTGCCAGTTCTGAACTTGTCCCATGTTTCCTGCTAGCTTCTTGGGAACTGCTACTTTCTATTTCAGTGCTTTTCTTTCCATCTTAGTTAAGAGAAAGTAAATGTGCTTGCTCTGAGTAGAGACACTTTGTCACCTGCCAACTGAGACAAAGGTGCACCTTGCTTTTCTACACTCGTCTTCTTGGCCTCGCATGTTGCAAGCATGTAGTAAAAAAAGGAAGAAAAATGGGGATTATCAGGCAAGAGAGAAGCCAGAATCTGTCTGACAGTGGCTGTGGTGCCATTGTGCCTGGAGGGCGTGTTTCCCTGTTGAATCACTGGATGTGTCATGTGGTTACCTTCCACAATCTGAAGGGCAAGATCTTGTGTGTTGAAGCAAAAGAGACCTGAAAGTCAGATGTGGGGCAAAGACAGTTTTTACTGAGCACTTTGTAATTCTTCACAGCAAGAAGCTTCTCAGCACTAAACCTTTATTAACATTTATTTATTTAGTAGTCTAGATAAATTTCCAGTGCTTGTATTAATTACAAGATGCAGATCCTGGAAAGCCCTCTTTGTATCATCTCTTAGTTTGTGTTTCTTAAACTTGCAGGTCAAATTATTTTGCATCAAACCCTGTTTATACTGAGACTGAACAAATCTTTTTTCTTCTCAATTTCCTTTTAACATAGATTAAAGATGCTGTTGCCCTGTGTGAGCTCTTTAACTGGCTGGAAAAAGAGGTAGTGTCTTAAATTTTTTTTTTTTAACTTGGAGATTTTATTCCTATGTAAAATTCTTCATTAGCATAAACCTTTTGATTGTCTTTAGAGTGGCTTTGCTAGAAGTGGGGAAGCAGTTGGGATTTTATCTGGGTTTTGGGGGGATTTAAAAAAAAATTTATTCAGCCTTGGATGAAAGCATTATTAAAACTTACTGCCATTCATTTTACACGGACCAAAGCCAGAGCAAGGGAGGAATGACCTGAGGAGGCTTAATTTACTCTTAATACTGTCTTGTTTTGGTTTGGTGGTGCAAATCATGAAATAATGTCTAGTTTGGCACAATATTTTGGAATCATTCTCATAATCAGTATTGTCTGGCAGTATAGACAGATTTGGCATTTATGAATGAAGAGGTGCAGTCATACCCATGTGCAGTGAAAATGGGATAAAAGACCAATTACTGGTATTTTCTCTGGATGAGAGGTACACAGTGAAGGTGCAGAGTGCGAGGTGTTACACAGCGACTAACTAAGCTGAGCTCCTTCTGTGCTACTGCATGTCTGAATCAATTGACTTCACCTATGGAGATGGCTTGAGGACTTCCAGAAGGTGCCTCTTTACATGTCTGAGTTCCTCAAGAAGTCTGCCTCAGGGGTTATGAAACCTATCTCTTGCTCCCTTTTTCCTGTTGTCCAGTCCTGGGCAAGTTGTGTCACAGGTTTTAATTTGTCAAATGCCCAAAGTAAAATGTAGCATCCTTTGTTTTTCCTGCAACTATTTCCATTTCTGATTTAAAAGCATAAAAATTCTGCTAATACCACGGGCTGTTGGAGAGAACTGTTTAAGCTTAGTGTAAGCTGTCTGTGAGGAGATGTTGACTGTAAGATGCTAGGTTTGTACATACCTCAGTGACCACTCCCTAGTCAGGGTTCAGCAATCCCACTGTGGCCATCTCTGCTTCCTGCTCCTCACGTGCCTGCACAGTGTTGTTGGGTTTGTGTTTGTCATTACTGAGGAATGAGGACAGAAAACCTGGAAAGAGGCCACTTCAAGACTGGGTTTCATACTGCAGAGATGAGGCCCAGTGCTTAAGCATATAGCATTTTCTTTGCTTGTTGGTGGACTAATCCCACCTATGTCTTTGTCCACTAGGTTCCAAAGGGAACTGTAACAGAAATAATGGCTGCAGACAAAGCAGAGGAGTTTCGCAGGTAAAAAGTAAATCCTCTGTGAGGATGTTTTCTGGGAGGCATTTTTATCCTTTGTTTTTATTTTATTCTTTAGAAATCCAGCTCACTCGCAGACATATTTTACCTGAGGACAAAAAATTACTACAGGATTTCCTTGAACACTTGAAAGAGTTGGGGAAGAATTGGGTCTCTTGGGAGATACAAGTCCCAGCCCACTGGATCCTATCTGCTTTCCTTTTGAGATAGCAATGTGGACTGTCACAGGTTAGGACACTTAAATATTAGACAGTTACTTTCTTACCATGGAGGAGTTGATGTAAGAGTTAGATTTCCTCCTCTTCTGACGGAGAATGAGCACCATTTGTATGTGGAGCTCTTCCTATGTGTGCATCAACAGGACCTCTCAAAATGCCTTTGAGTAAATAAGTAACAAAGAACTTGTTAAGGGTGTCTCTTCCCTGGGTGGTGTAAGTGGTGAATTTTCTGCTTCTAAGGAAAAGGTAGAGAGGGAAAGCAGGTTTCCACATGGTTGGGACAACGGGTCTTTGATCTGTAGAATTCTCCTACCTGAGTCTGCTTGCCCAGATGGCTTTCTAGGCTAAGGGGAGAGTTGAGGTGATGTGAAATTGAGGCTGGGGCTCCCCAGGTGCCTGGCATGATCCTCTTGCTTGTGCTGTAGTGATCACAATCTTTTCTTTCAGCCAACAGAAAGACTTTGTTGAATTGAGTTTTGCTACCATATCAAGCACGGGTCCAAACGGAGCCATCATTCACTACAAGTAAGAGAACCACAACTTCTTTCATCCTGCAGCAAATCTAGTTGGAATGAGCTGTCTGGCTGCTTTGTGGAGTCACGACAGTATGCCAGGGAGATGTAGTCACTGATGATTGCCATCTTGCTTTATTCCACCAGAGCTTCCACACTTACTAAATAAAGATCTCTCCCTGCTGGCAGCATGCATGCATTGTGATGCTGATCTGCTCAGGGGCTGTAGAAGAGGGATATTTTGGGGGTAGAAGTCTGGGAAGGACAAGTATGAACTGCAGACTGTTCTGAAATATGTCCAGAAACAGATGTTGAGGGTTTTGCTGGAAGCAACAAAGCTATTCTCTGTACTGTAATGCTATTTACTGTAGACAAATACACTCCTCAGTATGATCCCTGGCTCAGCATGTGTGGGATTTCCATCATTGCCACAAGAAATCAGAGCCGACACATCCAAGCTTGCCCTTAATATGGTTTCTGGATGGCAGGCGTGGGCTGGAGATGTTAAAACTGTGGAACAAAAAACTTTGTGTTTAATTGAACAGGCCAGTTCCTGAGACCAACAGAACGCTGTCTGTGAATGAGATCTACCTCCTGGACTCAGGAGCACAGTACAAGTGAGTGGGATGAGTGGTGCTGAGCTGTGGTGTTTCCTGCTCCCGGTGACCACCTGCAGGGTCAGCTCACAGGTGCTGTGGCAAGCATGGCAAGGTGTGGTTTGGAGCACAGTGCCCTTTCACAGAGAGCCTGCTCACTCCCTCTCCTCTGGAGCAGGTCTGTGGGGTTCTGAACATAGCCAAGTGCATCAGCCAGAGGGCGAGTGATCCGTGACAGGAGGCCCTGAGCTGGCTCAGGCTCAGGCCAGCAGAGCAGGGCTGCTGACAAGCCTTGTCTGGCGTGGGGGATGAGATTGAGACGTGGAGTTCCCATCTGGGTCCCATTCCCAGCATGATGGTGGCTGTGCCTAGCTGACGGTGTGTGCTTCTGTCTGTTGCAGAGTTGGTGTTAGAGCTGCAGGGAGCGGGCCTGACTGCCCTGGCTTAGCCTGGGGCTGTCTACCTGCACAGCTCAGGGAGTCACTTGCCCTGCCAGGACCTGCTTGTGGGCAGATTTGGATGGTGTTGAGGTCAAAACAAGGTGGGGCAGAGGAGTAGGACAGCACTGCTCAGTAGTGATGTCTGCCTTTCCAGAGGGAGACTCAGAGGCAGGGTTTCTCACCCCAGTGGCCACTGGGGTGTCAGGTGTGATGCTTTCCCAAAAAAGCACATCTGTTGACTCACTCTGTGCTGTTTTGACAGTGCCATTCAGTGGCATCAGTCTGTGCAGCTGTTCACTGTGGAACTCTGACTCCACGGAAAATGAAAGTGATGTTTTTAACCAGTCTAAATAGAGGAGAAGTGGCTTGTTCAGAAAAATGAAGAACAGGCCTGGCTGCTCCTTTGAGATGAGCTTTGTCTTCAGACCTATGTGTTCTTGTTATGTCAGTCAGGAAGAGCTTTGAAAAAGAACCATACAGACATCCTTTGATAAGATTTTTACAAGGAGATTTTTTTTTCTCCCCTCTGATAGCCTAATTAATGATTTCCTTAGTGCCACTATGAAAAGCAGCCCTTTGAATACAATGTAAGCTGGACATCAATGGCACTTGCCACAGCATTGTGACAGGGATGCTCCGCTTGTCCCTGCTGAGAAGTTCAACCTGAGTTCTTTGTGACCATGGTCTGTGTGTGCTGGGGAAAAGCGTAGCCACAGGAGTGAGTGTTTCAAAGGGAACTCATTATTTCAAGACCCTCTGTGTATTTGGCAACAGGCTCAAAATTACATTGCAGAAGGAGTTCAGACATGGTTTCTGATGTCTCAGACTAACCCCTATCCAAACACTGGATGATTTCTAGAAGTCTTAGCTCAAGACACCCAGAGGATGAGGGGGATGCTACACCCCCTACCCCTTTCTTGAGCTAGTAGCTGTCATTTGTGCATAAGTATATATTTTTAAGCTGCTAATGAATCATCTTCCATACAAATAGACTAAATTTGGCCTTCTCTGTTTTCTTCTCAGTGGGCAGGTGCCAGGTGCTAAACTTCAAATTAGCATAGTTTGTATGAGCAGTTTAGGTTCTAATTTGCAAAGAGCTTTGGGACGCTTGTGGGTGAGAGATAGCATTTTGAATTGTAAATCATTATTGCTACATCTGGGGCATGCATTCAGGAATTCATGAGATTAGGAACTCTTACATCATCAAGTCTTGTGTAACAGAGAGCAGATGACTTCACCCAGTTACGATTTTTGATGATTTGCTGCAGTGTGACTGAGTTTTCTGTGCATTCTCACTTTGATCTTTCATTTTCCCTCATCTCTTTGCTTCCTGCATCTTTGTTTGCCTCTGAAGAGATGGTACAACAGATGTGACTAGAACAATGCATTTTGGCACGCCATCAGCCTATGAAAAGGTAAGTTGGCATGTCAGTGTGGTTTGTGATCTGACCCATAAGGGTCATTATTATTAGTGATACTTAAATTAGTAATGTGCCCTGTAGTCAAAGTGCTCTGTCAAGTATCTTTTATGTAACGATATGTGACAGTATTTTTATCAAGACTGAAAAGGAGACTGTCAGACTTCAAAAATACAAACTAAGTAATTTAGAGAATGACATCTTTCTTAAAATGCACACCTCTCATTTGCAAAGTGACATGTCTCCTCTAAGAAATAATAAAATTCAGTGTACTGAGGAGAAACATTACTGGCTTGTCCAGAATGGGAGTTAGGGGTGTTTAATTTAGTGCAAAGCTCAGTGTCTAATGCAAGGCTGCAGTAATGATTTGTGTCTACTGTACCATATCAAAAACCAGTCTGGACTTCTCTGAGGAGGTCTGTGTTGGAAATCCAGCAATATAATTTTCATTGTTTTAAATTACTTCTTTAATTAAAACTAATTTAATCACTATTGTTCACTCAGTGATGAAAATATGCTGTAGGGTATGCTCAAGAAGTAAAACCACAGCCACAAAGAAAACCAGTCAAGTCGGTCAGGTGAATCCTGCTGCTAAACCTGCAGACTGAGTTTGTGACGCACTCTGTTAGAGCTCTGAAGTAATTTAAACTCCTCCTGCTCCTGGTTTGCTTCGGCGTTGCCAGTCATAGGAGAGCATGAGCAAGTCTTTCCAGATCCTCTGCAGTTTGGTACAAGATGTAGGCTTTCTTTCATTCCTGGGAAAGACAGTTTTGTCTCTCCTTGTTTACTTATGGCACACATTTCTTTGACAGGAGTGCTTCACCTATGTCCTAAAGGGACATATAGCTGTGAGTGCAGCCATCTTCCCGAATGGAACCAAAGGTAGGTTGGCAAGTTACAGTGTTTTGACCATAGCAGTGACCGCTGAAGAACCATTAAGTGGTCTGAGAGGAACATTATGGTTGATAGGTCCAGATGGCTAGGCAGATGTTGGGGGTTGTGCCTGTTTCCATCACAACATTTTGTATTATAGATTATTGATGCTTTCTTTCTTGGCATCAACCAGTGCTGAAAATTCAAAGAAGGGAAGTCTGAACAGTGTTCACCAGAGTGAGAGTGACTTTCACCAGTCAGTGGTACTCTTAACACACCTGTGGCCTTTCTGTGCTTGGAGGTTGTCCTTATGCGTAAAGACCCATGGCCTTGTGAAAGCAAAAGTCACTTTCCAGCTTCAAAAGGGCTGGCTAATTCTCTTCCAGTTAATACGGAATCTCTCCTAACACTGAGCAGCATGAGAAAATGGTACACAAAAGATCTGTTCTGGTTTTGTGCAGGAGAAGCTGTTGCACACATCCACCTCTGGTGAATTTGTTGCAGAGCTGTTTTCTCCCTGATCAGACACCTTGCACAAAGATGTCTCTGTTTAGAGTTTTCTCCATTTTGTGTTCTTGGGTAGGAAAGGAAGAAGCTACATAGTGGTATGAGAAACCCCAGCTGGAATTGGAGGGTGTCTGAACTTGGACTTACGGGCTTGGTGTTCACATGTAGGCAGCAGAAATTACCTGCATTCTGGTTGAAACAATCTGAAATGACTGGCTATCCAGTCAAGGAGTCTGGCTGATTGGTTCACCAAATAAAACTGGCAAGTTTTCTACTTTGAGTTTGCTCAGTCACCTTTAAGAAAGATGCTGGATACTCTGTGGGACATATAACCACTAGATCTTCCCTGAAAACCCCAGTGGAGCAAGCAGCAGTGCAATGTTTCTGTTACAGACAGACCATCTGCTGAAGAACTGTGTAATGAGAGAGGGGCTCTTTAGTTGAGAAAGGGCTTAAATGTCAGACTTGCCAAATCTCCCCTCTAACTGCTATCAGTCCTGTCACTTACTTTCATTGGTGGTCTTTTTTTTTTTTTTTTGAGGGGGTGGTTGTGAGTTTGTTTGTTTGGGTTTTTTTGCATGTTCTCCAGGTTTGAGCCTTCAGTATGAAGATCAGCATCTCTGAGGGAGCCTGACTTGATCACATTCTCTCTTCGTGTCTGTCTCTACCCCTTGGCCTGCAGGTCACCTTCTAGATTCCTTTGCCCGCTCTGCCTTGTGGGACTGTGGTTTGGATTACCTGCACGGGACAGGACATGGAGTTGGCTCTTTCCTGAACGTGCACGAGGGTCCCTGTGGCATTAGCTACAAAACCTTTGCAGATGAGCCCCTGGAGGCTGGCATGATCGTCTCCGACGGTATGCGGCATTGGCGATTCTCTCTGCTCACTGCGGGAGGGACCAAGCTCTTTAAGCTGCAGGGGGAATAAGTTGACAATAATTTAAATGAAAGGGGGGATCATAAGTTCTGGTCCTGCCTCCTTAGTTTATCTTGTCATTTAAGCTCTCTAGGTAAAGACCCTCATTTTAACTCTTTCACCTTCTGTAAAGCATCTTTGCAGTGGGGTGCTGCAGGCCTGCGTCCTGCTCTCTGCAGTGCCAGCCCCAGCAGGACTGTGCTGCTGACCAGCCCAGCTCTGGCATGCTGCCTCCCAGTCTGCAGTGGAAGAGCTGGCTACAGTACAAGGTGGACACCAAGCTTTCAGGAGCTAATCCTGTCTTTGCTATGGGCTATTTGAGGCAGCTGTTAAATCTTTATACATGCTGTATTCTTCCAGTAGTAAATTAACAGCCTGCTGGGGTTTACTGAGAGACTTACGTACGTTCCTTCAGGGCTGCAGAGTCCTTTCAAGGGAGTCAGGGGAGCACTCTCTAAAATAAGTGTTTTGGGGAAGGGGTTACCCACATGCCTTTCATAAAGACATGAACATTTTCAGAGTTTCTGGTATTTGGAACACATGTACTCTGTACTCTCTTGAATTGTAAGGAGACTTTCTGAGCTCAAGGACTGTCTGTCTTGTTTCTACTCTCTTTGAGAACTTTTGCTGTCACCTTGCTCGGGGCTTGTGTGCAGATGAAGTGTCAGAAATTTGTTTGCCTCTGTGGATGCCTAATGTCAAGATTGCTTAGTGACTTCAGTGGACTAGAGCCACGGAGGGGAAGTTTGGCCATGGGGGAGTGAGTATTTGCACAGTGAGCTGTGTGGCTTGGTTAATTACTGTCTGTTTCTGCAGAGCCTGGGTATTATGAAGATGGGTCCTTTGGGATCCGAATAGAAAATGTCGTCCTCGTGATCCCTGCTGAAACCAAGGTGAATGACCTGCCCAAGATGCACCTTTCTCCATGATTCAGTGATTGTAAAACTTACAGTACTGGAACTTGAGGTGGGACCATGCTGCGCACAGTTGAATCCTACTCAAGACTCCTGGTCTCCAAAAACCCTGCTTTGGTGAAGCCTGATTCTAAGTCTCCCTTGCTAAAGGGGGCACAGAAGACAGGTCTGCTTCTGCAGAGTTTCCATAGGTTGAAATGTGTATGTGAGAATTGTTTTAAAATGTTTTCTGTGTGGATGTCAAAAAACAGAAGCATCTATATTCATCGCCTTGGAGTCATTGCTGCAGAGTTATCTTCTCAAGTTGGGATTTTCTTCTCTGACAGGGAGTCCTTAGTGGCAGTAGAAGTGAAACTACAGACAGATTTTGACATTATAATTGCCAGTCTGGCTGAGTTGTGCTTTTAGAAATACCAAACTGAAAATGACCATGTAGTCATCAAGCTGAGTCCTGTACAGTTGTGACCTGGGACTTGGCCTCTAGAAAGTGACCACTGAAAGAAATAACTAATATTGATATTGAGATTCTTTGCCTGAACTATAGGAAAAATGTTATTGTATAAGTTCCTACTCTCTACTCCGAATGTTACATGGGTTGTTTTGTAGTGATGACATGAACTGAGGGGTAAGTGCCATCTGGCTAGAGTTGTTCCTAAATATTTACAACCGTGTTTGTCTTTCTCATGCAGTACAATTTTAAAAACAGAGGGAGCCTGACTTTTGAACCCTTAACCCTGGTTCCAATCCAGACGAAAATGATTGATGTTAGTTTGCTGACACAAAAAGAGGTAAGTAAAGCAGGAGGTTTGCATTGCCTTCTTTGCACTGGTTCTGTTCAGTTTACAAGAACCAGCACCCTCGGTTCCATTTCTTAGATCCAGAGAGCAATCCTGCGCAATCTGACTTCATTTTCAGCTTGATCTGGCTTTGAGTGGGAGAGTGGACTAGATGAGCTCTCTGGAGGTCCTCCCAATCTAAATTATTCTATGATGAAGGCAGCAAGGACCCCTCCAGTTAAGTTGTTTTGGTAGATCCCTTGATAGGACACTTGCTGCTGTCACCTCTTTTCCTACTCCTGCCTTAATTTGCTTCTGTGAGACTCTTATGCTGTCACCTCAGACTTACACTGATGACTGCCCCATGTTGTTGCCTGTATCTGCTCTTGACCAGTCCCATTCAGCTACAACACATTCTGCAGTCCACGTGGGGTCTGAGCAGACATCAATGATACCTGCTTAGCAGTATTTATTTCCTGAATAGCTTCACACTCTGAACTTTCTGTTCAGGTCTCCTGCAGCCTTCACTGTGATACATTTATCATCCTGTTTTTCTACCATATTCTTTGACTCAACCTGTCCTCCTTTTCTGAATGAGAATCCTGTTTGCATTTCCTTTTTCTGAAGAGGGCTGTGAAGAGTACCAGGATTTGCTGTAGGGTCACCTGTTCAGATCAGTGGGGCAATTGTGTCTCAGGGCTGCACTCTTCAGTTACAAATTTGCAAAGCTCTCTACCAGAATGTGCCAGGGTAGCAGTTGTGGCTTGCTGGAAGCAGGGGTTTGCAGTGACTTTAAATGCTTGTCAGCTGAACTGAACCTTGGCTTCTCTGAAACCCTGGGACAAATTGCTTCAGTTCTACCCTCATCTAATTTACAGTATACACCTCCATATATTAGAAGTCTGTCTGTTGGGGACTGGGTCCCATCCCAGCCTAACAGCTCAGTCCCAAGGAGCACAGGGGCCTGCAGATGTCTTTGCCTGTACACAACTTGTTAGGGCCCCACTTCTTCTGTGTTTATACTGAATGTCATACTCCTCCTTTCCTCTAGTGCAACTGGGTGAACAGCTACCACCAGAGGTGCAGGGAAGTAATTGGAGCGGAACTGGAGAGGCAAGGCCGGCACGAAGCTCTGCGGTGGCTGCTCAGGGAGACAGAGCCTCTCGTCAGAGTTCAGTAGGAGCACGGCTGTCTGCGGCGTGTAGAACACCAGGACCGCTCGCTGCCACAACCATCTGTGTCTCGTGGCCCTTGGCACCCCTGGGAGAACATTCTACTGTAAACCTTTGGAAAGCAGGAGGGGATTTCATGTAGTGTTGTTCTCCCCGCAAGGTGTGCGGGTAACGTGGGGGTGAGGAGGGTTACTGTCTGAACAATTGGGTTTTTGTGGAGGGGGGATTGAATAGAAAGCAAACACAATAAAGAATCACGTTGCCTTTGAACAGAGATCTTGAAATAATGGTTGTAAGAGGCAATACTGGAATATTTTATACTGTCTGTTTTTTCACTGTGAAAACTCAGTATTTTTGCATACTTGGGTTCCAGTTGCTAAGATGTTACCCACACAGCAGGGCTGATTACTGAATAAAAGATTCCAACCTGCTCTTTGCTCCTTCTGCTTTCTCTCCGAGTCGGTGGTGTGTGGGGTTTGACAGCTTTAAGAAGGGCAAGAACCAGATAATTCCACCTTTATGTAGCCATCCAACTCAGACAGTGAAGAAACATGTATGGGGCTGCCCTGTGCTAGGCGCTGGGCAGCTGTTACGAGGAGGCCTGACAGGAGCAGTCAGTTCTGCCTGTGCTTTGTGACAGATCGTGGAAGGGATGTGGTGACACTCAGCAGAGGTTTATGTGTGCAGAGCACCCAGGCCAGTACTTCTGTCTATTGTTATGACTTACTGAGTACTTGTATAACCCTTGGCAGTGCAGGATGCGTGGGCAGTATCATGGAATTGCAGCTCTTCCTGGACACAAGGCAATTATTAAGTTTTTAAAAAAATACTAATGCATACAATGGACAAAAGAAAGCCTTTGCGACTTGTGTTCAATAGCGGCCTGGCCTCGGCCACCAGGAGCCGTGCTCGGGATTGCCAGGCAGGGCACAAAGACATCTAGTGGTTGGTCGAGCTACTGCAAGTTAAACACAGGTAGGAGCAGGTAGAGCTACAAAGAGCAACTGAATAATAGCAACTCATTCCTTTAAAATATTAGGAATTCGTTCTGGGCAAAGGTAAATGTTCAGATACCTCATCTTCTTCCCTCTCTCCTCCCCCCCAAGAAATTCTGAGAGGGAAATGTTAATCTCTGTTAAATGGCATGAAATTAGTACTGCCCTCAAGTGTTCTGGAATTTGGAAGCAGTATCCTTTAGCTGAAGAGAAAAGGACTGGGAAGAGAAACAAAGTTGCCTGGCCTCTTAGCTGTGCTGTCTGGGAAGATCATAAAGAAAAAGTGCAGTAAGTGCTTTACAAGGCCATGTTCACAGCCCAGCCTCTGCAGGTGGTTTCCCACCCCCAGCACCTGGCAGCGCGAGCTTCCACCTGAGCCGTGCCCATGGAAGCCCAGCTCACACATCGGCCGGCCCGGTGTCCCGTGAGTACGAGCTGTCGACTACAGCAGGTGGGGGAAAGCATTTCTCTCAGAGGTGCCTGTTGCCTTCATAGGTGCTGACTGTGCCACAGGACCAGAGGACAGCTGGGGAGCTCTGAACAGTTGTGCAGTGATGGCTGCTCTCCAGGGGGATGGTGGAAGTTCAAGAAGATGACTCTGGCAGTCAGTGTAGACCTGTGGTTGGCTGCACTGCTGACCACAGATGTTCCCAAGAATGGCATCCCAAATGTCCTGCAAAGACTCAGCCTGAGTAGGTCTCTCCTCAGACTCAACTAAAAGGTGAAATGCAACAGCCAGGGAAGCCTTTCTCCTCTTGACCTGGAGCCACGGTGCCTGGCTGAGGTGCCTCAGTGGGGAGGGGAGACATACCATGGAAAGCAATTTGCTAGGTTTGAATGGCTTTATTAGAACTTTTCCCCACCTCAATTCACTCTTTACAGTCAGATGCCAATCTGGGGCCATTCCCACTCAGATCCCAGAAATTCATGTCTCTTTCCCACCCCAAAGAGTCTGGAGGTGGGGCAATCCAGCCTTGTCTCCTCCTCTAGGCACCAGCCGCTCTCCAAATACCTTCTGTGCTTCATTCCCCTGCTCATCCCTCCACGCCACTTTCCCCCTGTGGGCTTTTGTTACAGGGAGTCTGCCACTGTGTCTTGGCCACAGCTTGGCGATCTTTATCCCTCTCAATCTTGGGACCTCAGCAGAGGGAGATGGGGTGTTTTGCAGGGCAGGGCTGGCTGACACGTGTTCCTAGCTCTAGAGCATTTGTGTCTCTCCTTATTCACTCCTTGAAAACACAACTACATTTTCTATCCTTTCCTGTCGGAGCTTCAGGTTTCCAACGAAAATTAAAGTTGGCTTCTTTTTTCTTTTCTTCTTCTTCCAGGTTTTGATTTATTCCATCAGTGCCTTCTTTCCCTGGGTGGTCTCTGCCATCCCCTCTCCCGGTGGAAGGAAAAAGTTAAGGACGAGAGGACCAAGGAAAAGAATTAATAGAAACCAAGTTCCTGTCAGGTCTGAATTGTTGTATGAGTGCCATCCAGAGAAATGACCACAAAATGATGCTGTTCAAGTGAAAAGAGTAATTTTATTATTTTTTTTTAGATATACTTTTTTTTTCCATAGAGGCTTTTTGTTGTTGTTGTTGTGGTGGGAAGGAGCATTTTCAGTAACAACATGCTTAATGGTCTATTTTCAAGCCATTCAGTTTTTCAGTATTTTTAACCCAGTGGATGTCTCATAGTTTTAGGTTATGCTGCAAAGCACATTTCTGCTCCTTAAACAGCCTCTTTACAGGGGTGCTTGCTGAGGGAAGCCTGCCTGGTCCTACCACTTCATCCAACCCAGAAGCTTGGCGGGCAGTTGTACCTCACCACCCTGCCACTACCACTTGATCTGTCGGTGGGACAGGACTTCAGCAAATGCACACCATGGTGGTCCATGTGGCCACCCTGATTTATGCCACCAGAGCACTCCCCTCACCGATCCCTCCCCAGATATTTGTCAACCTTTGTGCTAGAAATCTCCAGGTATGCTATTACTGTGTTTGGGGGCTCTGAAATAGTTTGTTTCCCTTGGAATAAAAATGTTACAGCAGGAGACAGACCCTATTTTTCAGTGAAGAAAATCCACGTTGGCTTTGCTGTTCAGTCACAAATCATGATGTGTGCACTGGCAATCTGCCTGTTGGTGTACGACGCTTTTGAGGCAAAGAGACCATTTCTTCTTGAGCAGAAGGACTCGAATTCATTCATCACCAGCAACAAATACTCCTTCCTTCCATAAGCCTGCTGACTGCTTGACTTCTCTGTGGTCACCCCTCCTTCCTCAGTCTGAGGGTACTACCATAAGTGTGCCTGGCAGCAGTGAAATCCAGGTGGTTTTTAACTTAAATGGCTCATAACTCACCTGTAATGGAAACCCCACTATTGTTCGCATGACTATTAAACCCATCACTTCCCATGACAGCTACTGGAGCAAGTTTTGATTTATCCCAGCCCAGCCTTAGCAAGAAAAAGAAAACTTCTGAGAACATTGTCGCTGAGGACCTCCTGAAGGGATGGGGGTTTAAACCCCAACCCTGAATGAGGATTGGCATACGGATGATGTCCACAATCAGGCAAGAAAGACCCTCCTGACTGGTTTTCACCCAGGGTCTGGCCAGCCTTGGGTGGGAACTGGTTAGGAGACCAACCCCAGGGGCACCCACCTTACACATTATTTTGGAGGTGGGGCAAGATGCCACCTCTGTAAGAACTGACGCTGCTTGCAGTAGGTTTGGGAGGTCTGTTTATGTAGTGTGTGTGGGGATTCTGTTTCTTGGAGGACTCCCTGATTCTTCCTGGCAAGTGGAGCTCCCAGGACAGCAGGGCCAGAACATGAAGCTCTTTCTGAGTTCCTGCTATATAACTGGGCTCATGGTCTGGCTGCTACTGTCTTCTGTGGCTTGGCTTCTCAGCTGGCTCACTCCCTTCTTCATGTCCACTGTGGTGGGTGAGTGCATTGACTTTTTCCTCCCTCTGGTTCTCTGGCCCTTTGGATCTCTGGTGTGTGGTGTGGTAGTGGAGGGAGGGGTTTGGATGCTGTTCTGCTTGTTAAGGACAGTATCATTCTATACTGGGCAAGCAGTCAGCAGAAGACCTACTCGGCAAATCCATCAAACCACCTCACCTTCAGACTGCACTCAGTGAGTTAGTGGCCTAATAATGCTGAGGGGCTAGGGTGTGTTGTGGGGCATGGATGCTTATTTCGGTGGTTCCTTCAGCAGACAGTGAATGTGAGAGCCAGATGACAGGAACAGACAAATATGAAAACTCTCCTGGGGATCAGGAGATGACGTATTTTCTCCTTTGCTGCTACTTCTCTGCCATGTGGTGCTCTGAGGGGTCTCTGCTTGGTGGTGTGTGGCTGAGGATAGCATGGAGGACACCTGTGTTTTGGAATATGCTTATAAAAGGCTGAAAGGTGTTCCTCAGTCATTCAAGAGACTGCCTAAAGCATGCCTGTGTGCTGGCACCTGATGCCTGGAGAGGACCTGTCATTGGCCCACATGAAGTCTTTCTTGCGCTCAGTGGGGGTGAGTTGGCTGCTGGTGCTAAGGATTATTGCTACTTATTTTTGCTGACTTGTAGTGATTCACACCTCATTCCCAGAGTCCTCAGTCTTCTTTTGGGGGAAGAAAGTGCAGGCCTGGGCATCTGGTGTCTGGAGATCATGAGTTAAATAACTTATCTTGTGTCACTGTCCTCAGCTTGTTTTACACGATTAGGACAAAATCCCTGTGGCTTTGGATGTAACAAGGAAAAAAAAAGGAAACAAGAGCCTCTGGAGTGTATAAATATGAACTGGGTTAGTGCTTAATTAAGTTGCCTATTAACAGTTGTGTAGCAGTCTGGAAGAATTTTAATGTACCAATTAAAGCAAGGAGCTATCTCCTTGCCTTTCCACCACCTCTGGGGACGCTGTCAAGAACAGGGAGCTTGCAGATCAAGTGCTGTTTATTTGGCTCCTTCCAGCTTGTTAAAAATGGTTCTAAATTTGGGATGTGATGAATGCCACATGTTTGCCTCTG